TTGCTTTGCTTGTGCGGCCTTGATTACCATCAGATCTTGCTCTTGGCCATCCAATCTGCGGGTAGTAGCTGCTTCGCGTCGCTGCAGTGCGGACAGAAGTTGGGTTTGCGAGGCTGAGACGGCGTTGCCGACGGCCGCGTTGATGGCGGCAACCATCGGTGCCACGATATGCTTGAGCTCGTGCTGAATATCTGGGGCGAGATTGGCTGTGGCCAAGGTGCTCCTGTAGGCGTGGCTGCGCCTTCTGCTTCTGGAGCTGGTGCTGGAGCTGATGCCATTGATCAAGAGCTGGCTGCGGCGGCATTTGGTGCTGCTGTAATAGGGGAGCGCTGCTGAACTGCTTGAACGGCTTGATGTGCCAACCATTGCTGTTGAGCCGTAAGCCGGGCGGCTTCATGGGCCGTGTCGGCTTCTGCTGCATGTCGGGCGGGTTCGTGAACTTGGTGGGCTTCTTGAGGTTCGCGCCAATTCATTCTCGCTATGCTTAATGGGCTTGCCACTGCGCTTGCTCTTGAGAGGGGAAAGTAGGTGCTGCATTCAATTCTTCAAGAGCAGCTCGTTGCCAAGTTTCTTGAGTAGCAGCTGGGTGAACTCCTTGAGGGGCTCCAGGAGCTTCGCGCCCGAGAGGTCATTTAGATCGTCCACTATGTCCTTTGGGTGGCTTGTGTGATCCTTCGGAAGAAGAAGAATGGTGGCGTCTATCCCTATCGCGCCGGCACTGTCGATCACGGTCACGGTCTCTATCTCTCTCGGTGCGTTTTTCAGGGTGTCTGCGTCGATCGCGTCGGTGTCGAGTGGCTTGGCTTCTGCTTTCAGAATCGTTTCGGGAAGATGCTGAAGCTGAATCCGAATCCATTCGGAAGTGTTGAGCTGAGCTAGACCACGCACTGCCTGTCCGATGCCAAACGAGAGAGGAGCCAATCCAACTATATATGCAATTGAAATAGTTGAATTAGTAATTGTGCGAAGGTGAACTTCGTTCTGCTGATATGGAGCGGCTCCGCAGGCTGGGCAGCCGTGGCGGGCCTGTGAGGTTGGGAAAGGAACAAGTTGAACTGAACGGCCAGCTGCCTTGGGAAATGTTTTACTTGAGCCATAATGGCTTGAGCCAAAATGGTTTGAGCCAAAATGGCTACGGAGGAGGAGGAGGGAGGAGGGAGGAGGGAGGAGGGAGGAGGGGGAGGAGGAGGAGGAGGAAGAGGAGGAGGAGGAGGAGGAGGAGGAGGAGGATGGGTCGGAGGAGGACGAAGGGATTTTCGGGGGGCTCGGGAGGTTTCTTGATATCTCAAGAGGCCTCAGTTGTGAGAGAAAGAAAAAGAGAGAGGAAGCGACGAAGAGAGAATCGTGATCATGGGAAGGAGCAAAAGGGTAAGACGGCGACGGCGCCAGCGGAGGGGGGAAGGAGGGAGGGATGAGCCGAAGGAAGAGGACAAGCTGAAATGCACTGGCGCCATACATGATGTTCCCCCCCTCCTCTCCCATCTGACCCCACCGCGTTGAACCCCTTTGCACTCGCCAGCATGAAGAGCCGGCTCGTGGGAAGTGGATCTGAACTCCCCGTGGCCCACGTCGGGGATCTGCGAAGGTGCTGCCAGGGTTGACCGATCAGATCCGGGCGGACCTCCGAAAGGCTACACTCATGCCGATGGATCTACTTCGAAGGAAGGGGAGGTGAGGACCAGGATCGGGGGGAACGAAAGGGGGGACAGCAAAGGGTAGGGTAGAGAATCAGCTCACGTAGCTGATTTTCCCAGCGCGTCTCGGCGCCGGGAGTCGCCCATGTATCGAGGACTGCGCCTGGCGGCGGGGCCGAAACCAGATGCATGCAGCAAATTTCGTCACCCCCCCTTTCGTTCGGCCCGACAGGAATGGGGGAGGGGGTGGAGGAGGCGAGAGAACAATGAGGACGCGGACGAAGCTGCCGCGCACGCTCGGAAGAGGCGAAGGAAAACGGGCAGGTTTCAGCAGGGTTCGGCACCCGCGGGGCAGCAGCAGCAGCGGCAGCAGCAGCAGCAGCAGCGGGGCACGTCTAGCGTTAGGTTGCTCCCATCGTACTCAAGGACCACATCCCAGAAACAATGTCGAGCACCCGAACAAGTGTCGAAACAGTGCCGAAGCAGTGTCGGACGAGTGTCTCCCAGGGCCCGACACTTGACAACCTTCGAGGTTCGGTGCTTTGTTGGTGCTCGAAGTTCTGTCTGGTGATCAAGGCTAAAGTAGGATGGAACATCATACAGTCAAAAACCCTGATAAGGACGCGCGGGAAGGACGCAAGACCCTTGGAAGACGAAGTTGGGATTTCTGGGGCGGCGGACGACGAAACCCCCAAGGACGCAAGAGCAAGGGAGAGCAAGGATGCAAGGGTACCCGGAGTAAAGTCGCGCGTCCTTATTAGGGTTTTTGACTGTAAGTCCAGCGCGGCAAGGTGGCTCAGAACCTCTGCCGACGCCGCGCCTGGCGCGACCTGTCGCGGCCACACACCCGGGGCGCCCAGCGCCCGGGCAACAGCCGCTGCCACTCCCGCCCGGCAGCACCACGGCGCCGCCAAGGCGGCCCGCCAAGGCGGCCCGCGGTTCGGGCCACGCGAATGGCAAGGCTGGACAACAGTTTTCTGGGACGGACAGACCCCCCTTTAGTAAAACGTGGTTTAGTGAAAACGACCTAAGGCCCAAACCTGGCGGGCGCAAGCCTGGAAAATAACGGCCACGGCGCCCTCTCGAGAACTGAAAACGGACAATTCACTAATCGACGTGTCACTGTTGGGGGTTCTGTCCACCCCCGAAGTTTGAGGGATGCAACAACGCCCCTGACCTGTGTTACGAGTGCGTGGTCTGCAAACCCCCTGGGAGCTCCCAAAGGCCAGAGAGCCGCCAGGACGCCGCGCGGCACGCGCGATCTGCAGGGTTCACCCTGTCAGCCCACAGGAGGTTCAGCGCACAGCGCCTCGTAAACCAGGGTAGGGGCGTTTTTTTACGCCCTTGAAGTAGGGTTCGGCGAGTCAGCTCACGCAGCTGATATCCCCTGCGCAGGGAGGCGCCAAGGCGTCGAGGAATGGCGCCCGGCGGCGGGGGCCGAAGCCACCTGCATGCAGCAACGGGTCCGGCGCAGCTCCGAGAAATCCGCACGGACCCGTGAGAGTTTCTGCCCATGCCTTGTTTCGGGGGCGCGCAAACATGGATTAGCGATCCATGGATTTGGCGCGCGGTCGCCAAATCCATGGATCGGGGGAGGTGTCCTCCCCAAAATGCGGCAATCGCCGCCTCGTTCGGCGGCGGAGATCCGCGATTTCCCATGGAAGCGGAACCCGTCGCTAATCCACGCCCCCTGGATCCATGTTTGCGATCGCCTGATTGTTCCTCGGAGCGAGGCATGGCGACCACGACTCGGCGGCGAGCCCTGGGGGGGAAGTGAGAGAGGGAGCAGGCCTTCTCCAGAAAGCGGCGGGGCTTCTCAGAAGCCCTCGCGCATTCCGATGAGCCGTCCCTGTCTTCGGAGAGGGCTCCGACAACTTCTCGGAGGGCGCGAGGGCTCCTGAGACGCCCCGCCGTTTCGTGGAGAAGGCCCGCAGAGTGCACCAGCAGCGAACGCGCCCTTACCCGCGCCCTCGCGGCCGGATTCTGGGGCGCGAGGCCGCGATTCCATGAATTGCTTTGGCGGCGCGCACAAGGGGGAGGGGGAGGGGGGGCGGTTTGTCAGAAGGAGGCTGTTTCTTGGGATGCGCCGGCCCCTCTATCTAGAGAGCAGGCCCGCGCCTCCTAAGCTGGGCTTCTTCCTAGGAAGCCTTCGCCCGTCCTCCTGCCCCCCTTCTGCGCGTGGCAGATTCCCCCTCGGCGCGCTGCCGAGAGGGGTCCTCTGGGCGCCCCAGCGGCACCGCGCCGCTCACCGCCCAGTGCGCTCGCCACGAGATAGGGGAAGCCGCACGCCCACTTTGCCTTGGGCATGTTCCCCTACAGGCGGATTTTGGACGAAAAATAAGACAAACTCAATATACATCACAAAATAATCAAACAGTCGAAAAATCATCCCCTGCATATGTTATGGCTATTTTGAACATTCCTCCTGCAGAGGGACAGGCCCGACCTAACCTTTGCCCTCCCTGTTCCTCCCCGCGTCGGGGGCGCGAAGGCAGCAACGGCGAGGCGCGACCCTCCCGCGGCTTGGGTCAGGGGCAGTTCGCCCGCGGGCCCGTGGAGGTTCTGAAGATCGTGTGTCGCCGGGGCTTCCTCCCGTGGGGGTCAGCGGAGTGGCGCGTGAGCCTCTGGAGCAGATGGGGACTCTGATCGAGAACTGCCGCAGACAGATTGGGTCCAGGGCTCCCCAGAGCTCCGGTCGTGACCGTTTACGATGTCGGCTGCCTCCTGTGGGGGCCAGCGGAGTGGCGCGTGAGCCTCTGGAGCAGGTGGGGACTCTGAAGTCTGGGCGTTGCAATCTTTCCGCAACGGGCGATTTTGCCTTCGTTTCGTGCCCCAGGGCCATCACAGCTCGGCCGGGCTCGAGAACTGCCGCAGACAGATTGGGTCCAGGGCTCCCCAGAGCTCCGGTCGTGACCTTTTACGATGTCGGATCTCAAGGGTGGGGGGTGCCGGAGAGCCGCAAGCGCGCTCGAGGGAGAACGCCCTTCGACACAGCCGACGACGATTCGAACGGAAAATATGCACGTGGAAAACCGAGCCGAAAAAACACCCGAGCGGAACAAAAACAGCTGCTCACACAACACATCAGATAATGATACCCCCTGCTTGTAGAACAGTAAGAGAGGCGGGGGGCAGGACGGCAAAGTATGCGGGGAGAGAGAGAGAGAGAGAGAGAGAGAGAGAGAAAAAGAGAGAGAGAGAGAGAGAGAAAGAAAGAAACAAAGAAAGAGAGAGAGAGACAGAAAGAGAGAGAGAGAGAGAAAGAGAGAGAGAGAGAGAGAGACAGAAAGAGAGAGAGAGAGAGAGAAAAAAAAAAAGAGAGAAAGAGAGAGAGAGAGAGCAGGAGGATAACGACCCCTCAGCGGCCTGCTCCATCGCGCTGGCCAACATCGCCTCTAGGAGAGATGGAAAAGTACCCATACCGCTACTCCTCGGCCCTCTTCCGAGGCGCGTTCGGACAAGCATCTCGAGAACAATCCAGCCGTGGCGACGAGAGAAGAGGAAGACAAACCATAATCAACATCAACTTCTGACGGTCCGCGCGGATTTCTTGGATCTGTGCTGGCCACCCTCCCTGGCGGGCGGGGCGCGCCAGTGGCGGCGTCGGAAGCGCCGCCAGGCAGGTCCAGCGCAGATCGAAGAAATCCGCGCGGACCGTCGAAAGTGTATATTTTTTACCGTTCTTCTTTCTTCTTCTTCTTCTTCGGAGGACCTTCCCAGGACGAACATAATCACCAATATACCTCTTTTTTACAAGGCCGTGCGCGGCAACATCGAAACCGAAATCGACCGACGTCAACAGGCCGAAAGCAGCCTAGAAGAGCGCAACGACGCAGCAATGACACAATAAACCACGGAATCGGACCGACCGAACGCAACCGACTGCCGCGCAACCGAACAGGACCGAACAGTGAATAGACTTGTGTACTAGTACCTTTAGGTGGGGCCTGTCCCAACATACTAGAAATAGTCAACAAAATCGTCCCCTGACAATTTTTTGACTGTTTTTGAATATCCTCCTGGAGAGGGACAGGCCCTCTTTTCCCCCCCTAAGCCTCCAAGCCCCCCCGCGCCGCGGACGCCGCCGCCGCCGCCCTTCTGGCTACCGCGTAACTCCCAAACCTTGGTCAGCAGAGGGCGGGGGGGCCGGCTCCAGGTGGCCCCCAAACCTGGGGTAGCCAGACGATCTCGGGGGGATTGGCTGATCCCCGCTGAGCCTCCGTCGCCCTCCTCCCCGTCGTGGTCGACGTCGTCATCCTCGTCGTCGTCGTCGTCGCCGAACTCGTCGCCATCCTCGTCGTCATCTTCGTCGTCGTCCGCATCGCCGCCGCCATCTTCGGTCGCCGAACCGCGATCGCCGACCTTCGTCGGTCATCGGAGCGTCGCGTGAGCCCCGATGGGCCTCCAGCCCCCCCGCGCCGTTGGCGCCGCCGCCGCCGCCGAACAGCCCGTCCAGTGGGCCAGCGCCGCCGGCGCCGCCGAGCAGCCCGGCGGCGCCCCCGCCGAACAAGCCGGCCAGGGGGCCTGCGCGCGGGGGGCGCCCGCCGCGGACGCTCTCAGCCCCCCCGAGGGGTGCCCCCTCCTCCTCCTCCTCCTCCTCCTCCTCCTCCTCCTCCTCCTCCTCTTCCTCCTCCTCCTCCTCTCCTCCTCCCTCCTCCTCCTCCCTCCCTCCTCCTCCTCCTCCTCCTCCTCCTCCTCCTCCTCCTCCTCCTCCTCCTCCTCCTCCCTCCTCCTCCTCCTCCTCCTCTACTCCTGCTCCTGCTCCTCTCCTCCTCCTCCTCGAAATAAAGAAGGAAAGAAAAAAGGAACGGAAACATGAAACCGCCCCGCTCCGCGGGAGCATCGGGAGGTGGCAGCAGCCCCGAAGAGGCTGTGGTCTTTTCTCCGGATATGAAATGCCACGAGTTTCTAAAGACGCGACAGTAGGAAATCCCGACCTTTTCCCGGGGACTGGCGCTTCATCCCGGGCCGTTTCTGGACAGTCCGGGGGGCCCAACGGCCGGAAACGACGAGAGCCCCCCGCCATGGCATGTTCAAGGTGTCCCATGTCTCTTCGGCGCACCTTGGGGGAAGAGAGAAAAGACAGATCTTCTCAGAAGTCGGCGGGGCTTCTCAAAAACCCTCCCGACCTCTGAGACATGTTCGATGTGACGTGATGACACATAGCTCTTCTGCTGCCGAAGGATGACAAGGGAGAGAGAGAGAGAGACAAACAAACTGAAAGTGAGAAGCGGAATTGAAGTTCAACTACAATCGCGAGCCGCATGCCGCCACACACACACACACACGTTACTCTCAAGCTGACCGCTGTCGCCGTACCCCAAACAATGTTGTGCATAGTTGGGGAACAAGTTATGTGCTAGGAGGGGCCCTGAATGCGTCATCCTGCTTTGTGGGCGAATTGATGTTTCAGCCGGAGGGGTGGTCCGACAGCTTGCGTCGATGTCCGACAGGGAGTTCCCGCAGCTTGCGTCGACGCTTGTATTCGGTATGTGGGCTAGACACCCTTCCGTCGCTGCCAACCGATCTTGGGCCAATCGACGAGGAACGCCACATGTGGGAAAACAACGGAGCTATGCCAAAGCTCCGGCAGTCGACTCCGCCCTTCGTCCGAGGGTCTGTCCCTACTCTCGCCAATCATTCAGGACTCCATCGCGCCACGCCTGGTCGGGCTGGGCCCCCAGGCACAACCATGTTCGCGTTTCGCCGCCTGCCAGCGCGCGGCGAAGCTTACTGGCGCGGCGCAGCCCGCGACCACCCAGTCACAGCGACCCCTTCGGCCGTCGCCTCGTGCCCCGGTTTGCCCGCAAGATTACCCCGGGGCGTTCCTAGGCGCGGGCGTTTCTAGCGCGGGCGGTTTTGCCCGCGCCCTCCTGGCCGCGCGCGCCGGCGCGGTGCTTCCCGCGGCCATTGCGTCAAACTTGTGACTGTCAAAATGCAGTGCGGTGCTGCCCTCGATCGTCGCCCCAAACCCATAATCATCCGAACTCGGCGCGGCGCTGCGTGGCCCCAGAGGCCAGGGGTGGCACGCAGCCGGCGCGCGTCGTCTGCGCATCTGCGGCGTCTAACGCGCTTGCGGGCGCAGCGCGAGCAACATGTGCTTTCGCCGCCATCGCCCCCCCCTCATTGACGACGCAGCGGACGTCGCTTAACTGGGGAATACAACCACTCGGCCACGTGCGCTGTCGTGCCGACGTCGGCACGGGTCAGGAGCACGTCCGCGATCGCGGGCACGAGCTCCCCGTCCCTCAACGACTCCTGCGCCCGGGGCTCCTTGATCGCCAGATGCTGGACCTTTCCAGACCCCGTCTGGCCGCGCATATCTCGCGCACCCGAATTGCGCATCTGCTGCACGGGTAAGCTCGCTCGCAATGCCCATCTGGCGCAGGGCGCGGCTGGTCTGCTTCCTAATCGCCACCGCGCGCGCGATGCCGCCGAACTTGGCCTCGCCGCTGGGCGGCGCGATCGTAGCATCCCTGGCCGCGCTGCAATCCGGCGCGTGGAGCCCGTGCCGCTCCGCCGCGCGCGAGGTCGGCTTCCTTGTCGGCTCGTCGGCTGCCCAGTCCGAGTTCAGTAAGACGCACGGGCCCCTGGGCTCCTTCTGGCACCTGAAGAGCATCGCCATCGCGCGCCTGTCGCTCTCGATGTTCCAGACGTCTGGGGCCTCATTGCCCAGGCGTTCACTGGCCTCGCGCGCTCCGCGCGCGGCCCCCATGAGCTCGCCGGCCCGCGCAGGGGGGCGCCGCGCCACCCGGCGGAATAATCAATTACCATCTTCCCCGGCCCACCGCAAAACAACACCCCCAAAAAACACGCAGCTCGGATGTCCGGCCCGCCGGCCAGTCGCGCCGCACATTGGAGTCGGTCTGCGCGGCAGCCGTGCTCGCGATCCCCCTGGGCGCCTTGATCGGCGGCGCGCCATGGGCAGCGTCCTCCAGATTGCAAGCGTTTACCATGCGTCGCCGCGGGCATGGGCCCCGTCGCCTTCTCGCCCTTGGCGGTCGGCGCCTGGTCGCCCAGCCAATCATCTCCAGGCCGCGCGACCGAGCATCCGCGATCGTGATCCACTCAGCGACGCCGCGCCACTCCGTGTTCGCGAGCTCGCGGGCGCGCCCCTCGCGCGCTTCCTGCTTTTCCAGCGCCCGGGCGCTTTTGGCGCAGTCGTGGGCGCGCCCCCAATCGATGATCTGCTGGGCCCACTCCGGGTCATCCAACACTGCCGCGGCAATGTGCACCTTGGGCGCGTCCAATTGAGGGGGCCCAGGACTCGCGGCCCTCTCCGTGGAGGGCGCGCCGACCAACGCAGCGCGCCCCTGCTGGCCGTCGGCGGTCGCGCCCGCCTGCGCGCCATCAGCAGGGGAGGCATCGGGAGAGGGATCGGGCCCGCCCGCGTCTCTACTCAGCGTTGCGGGAGCGGCCCCCCGGAGCTCCCTGCCAGCACGATGCCAGCGGAGGGCGCGGGGCTGCCCGCCGCCGTGCTGGGCGACGCTGACCCGGCGGCGCCCGCAGTCGAAAGGGTTGCAGTTCCTGGCCCGGGCTGCGGCGCCTCCGGCGCGGCGCTGCCGGCAATTGCGGCCTCCGCCTTAGCTTGAGACCAGCCCCGGGCACTAAGGCGAGCGCACCTTCGAACGCCCGCAGCTCGCTGAGCACCCTGGAGCGCCGCCGCGCTGGATCTGCCCGCCCAGCGTAACACAGGCGCCCTTCAAACCCAGGCACGGCCGCCCTCGGCGCATCGCCGCGGGTCAGTCTGCGCCGCGGTCCCGCGCGCGGGACGCGCTGCCATTGCCTGCTGCGGTAGCGGGCAGGGCTCCTAGAGGACAAGTCGACGTGCGTTGGCCCTGAAGCAGACCCGACAGGACAGGGAGTGGCCCGGCGGCGGCCAGGCTGGCGTCGGCGGCAGAAACCTCGAGGGGAATGCGCTTCCCTGCTGGTGTCGCGGCGGGCGGCCCCCGCCTGTTCTCCGCCGCGAAGAGATCTGGCTCTCTCTTCCTGCAGCCGGCATCCACGTAGCCTTTCTCAATGCAGGAAAAAACCTTCTCGCCGTTCGGTTTCTACCCGCCGCCGCCTTTGTTTGACTTGTCCAGGACCTTGCTGCTGGCGCCCTCCGGAAACTCGCCCCCCTTTTCGGCCTTCCGCCTTTGGGGCTCGCGGGGCGATTCCGAACTGCACGGGCGCTGGTTGGGGGTCGACGTGCTGCTGGGTCCTGGTGGTCTCCAAGATCTCCTTCCGCATCATGGGCAACGTGTCGAAAGTGGCGCTGGATTGTATCAGTTGCTCTTTGACAGTGGAATCCTCCTTGCCAGCAGAACCGCGCCGATCTTCTCGTCGTCGTCAACGATATTATTGTTGGACGGGCTTCCGTAATCGCGCACGGTGCGCTCAAAGGCTACAACAGCACTGTGGATGTATCCCGTGAGCCTGCACGCCATCGCATGCATGCGGAGCCCGACTAAGTGGTTCCTCAACTTCGGGTCGCAACTCTATCACGAACTGGCACCGAGCCTCGAATCATTCGTTCACCCCGCGCTGTGGCACTTGTCCAGTGCTGGCCCAGACGTGGCCATCACGAGTATATACTACGCCTCCGTCTTGGCGTTCCGTATCGTGACCTGCGACGAGTCAACCTCCATCAGGTTGCCCTGATACATGTGGCCCACGGCCCCGAAGTGTGACGGACGTGATCTTGTAGCTTCAGTCCGCGAACTTCGTCACGTCGCCCTCAAACTTGCCCGGTTTGCCGATCACTGTGGTGTCGACCACCCCGCTCGGAGGTGATGTTGGCTCCATGCCTGCGGGCAGTTGTTCATTGCACCCATGGGGGCGCGCAGCTCCTCCATGGCGCCAGGGTGCGGGGCTACCCGCTACCCGGTATTCTGTCTTGCGGTTGCGTCTCGGCGGCCGCAGTCCGAGACGCCAGACTGCGCGCCGAACTGCGGCGGACGCGGGCCGCAGCACTGTCGATGGATCGTTACCCGCGCATGGTGGGCGCTGCCGCGATCAGGATTGCCGACCCGTGCGTTTCTATAGCTCCGCTATCATGACGTGCTGACAAATAGCCGTTCCATCTCGAGAAAGAGGGGCTTGAGGTGCCACACCAGCATGTCACTCCCAAGCTGGCTGCCACCCACCGAACTGTCGTGCTACATGTGGGGGCCCTGTTGCATGCTACAAAAAGCTCTGGATGTGGATGCCTTCTCCCAGCTTGTGGGGAAAATCGTGTCTCACCTGGCTGGGGCTCCCATAATTCGCGTCGATGTCTGTATTCGGCGTGTGGGGTCGACATCCGTGTCTGCGGAAAAGGCTTAGAATGCTTCTCAAGAAGCCAAGGGACTCCCGAACCTTCTCAATTGGCCCGCCCCATCTCACTTCCCCCACCCCGGTCTCCTCCTCCTCCTCCTCCTCCTCCTCCTCCTCCTCCTCCTCCTCATCCTCCCCACTCCTCCTCGTCCTCGACCTCCTCCTCGTCCTCGACCTCGTCCTCGTCCTCCTCGTCCTCCTCCTCATCCCCCTCCTCTCCTCCTCCTCCTCCTCCTCCTCCTCTCCTCCTCCTCCTCCTCATCCTCTCCTCCTCCTCCCCCTCCTCTTCCTCCTACTCCTCCTCTTCCTCCTCGTCCTCCCCTCTCCTCGTCGTCGTCCCTCTCCTCCTCCTCCTCCTCTCCTCCTCCTCCCCCCTCCCCCTCCCCCGCCTCCTCCTCCTCCTCCTCCTCCTCCTCCTCCTCTCCTCCTCCTCCTCCTCCTCCTCTCCTCCTCCTCCTCCTCCTCCTCCTCCTCCTCCCCAGAGAAGGGCACCCGCGAAAAGGCCTGCGGCGCCCGCGCCCCCGAGGTACAGCACGTCCTCGGAGTCGCACGCCACTGGCTCGCCGCCTCCCAGCGGCGCCGAATCCACATCCCGGCGCAGAGTCCTTGCGAGGGAGGAGGAGGAGGACGGGGAGGAAGAGGAGGAGGAGGAGAAGGAGGAGGAGGAGGAGGAGGAGGAGGAGGAGTAGGAAGGGGGACGGGGAGGAGGAGGAGTAGGAAGGGGGACGGGGGGAGGAGGAGGAGGAGGAGGAGGAGGAGGAGGAGGAGGAGGAGGAGGAGGAGGAGGAGGAGGAGGAGGAGGGGGAGGAGGAGGGGGAAGAGAATGCGGCGGTGGAGGAGGAGGAGGCGAGGGAGAAAAAAAGGATAACGAGGAGGAGGAGGAGAAAGAGGAGGCGGTGGGGGAGGCGGATGGGGGATGAGGAGGAGGAGGTCGAGGAAGAGGATGGGGGTGGAGGAGGGGGAGGAGGTGGCTGGGCAGGAGAAGGAGGCACGGGAGAAGAGGAACATGACGAGGAGGAGGGCGAGGAGGCGGAGGAAGACCCGGATGGGGGGGAGAGGGAAGTCGAGGAAGAGGATGGGGAGGAGGAGGGAAGAGGAGGAGGAGGAGGAGGGAGGAGGAGGAGGAGGAGGGAGGAGGAAAAGGTAACTGTGGAGGAGAAGGACGCGAGGGAGAAAAAGAGGATGACGAGGAGCAGAAGGGGCGGAGGAGGGCCAGGAGGGGAGTAGGAGGATGCCGAGGAGGAGGGGGAGGAGGAGGAGGAGGAGGAGGAGGAGGAGGAGGAGGAGGAGGAGGAGGAGGAGGAGGAGAACGAGGAGGAGAACGAGGAGGAGGACGAGGAGGAGGAGGAGGATGAGGAGGAGGGGGAGGACGAGGAGGAGGAGGAGGAAGAGGAGGAGGAAGGAGGAGGAAGGAGGAGAAGAAACAAAAAATGAGGAGGAGGAGGAGGAGGCGGAGGAGGAGGAGGAGGAGGAGTAGCAAAGAGGAGGAGGGGGAGGAGGAGGCATAGGCCGAGGAGGAGGGGGCGGAAGAGGAGGAGGACGACGAGGAGGAGGGCGCGGGGACGCGGATCGCGACGCTGTCGCCGTCGGCTGCGGCGCCCTCGGTGGCGGGGTTCGACCGAGGGCGCTCTCCTGGAGCCGCTCCGAACGGCCTCCGCGGAGCGTTGTCGAGCTCGCGGCCGCCTTCTCGACACTCGGATCGCGTTCTCTCGCGGCGGCCCGATCGCAACGCTGAAGCTGGTCACGATGGGCTGCCGCGCTCGCCCCTTCTCGCAGACGCCTTATCTGGGCGCGTCTCCTGTTCTGCGTGCTCTTCAAGACCATTTCCCGGAGTTCTGGCCTGAGTGGCCAAGTGGGCCTGCCGCTTGAACCTTGTAGGGCGAAGGGGCTGAAATTCCGACCGGGCGCGGCGATGTACTTCAGGTATCTGGTCTCGAGCTTACTCTGGTCCTCCTCTGGGAGGCCCCCCCCATACTCCGAGGGCGCCCATCGCTTCCCATTGGGCTCCTGCGCTGTAGCTGTCGACGTTGGGTTCCCCTTTTCCCTCTGTCGCCACCTTCCCGCATGCCCCGGTCTCCGCGCAGTAGCTGGCGGTATCTGGCTCCATCTTCGCGTCCCACTTTTCGCATCCAGGGCCCAGCCACTTGTCGGCGATGGCCCTACGTGCGGCCCACATCGCCGAGCTGACTCCACCACGCGCACTGACCGCAGCGTTGTAGCGGATGTCGTTGGGCTCTAGATTCGCCTCCCACTTCTCGCACACGTTTGGCTCCATCTTTCCGTTTTCGCTGCTCCAGCCGTGGCGACGAGGGGTGGGTATGGGAAGGCGCTCGTGATACAGGGCTCCAGCTTTGCCTCGGCCTCGATTGTCCTGGTCGCAGTGTTGCAGCTGATGGCGTCGGGCTTCAACTTCAACGTTCCTTTCTTGCGCGCCCTGTTCGCTTCGCTGCAGCTGGCCATGAGGGGTTCGCTCTTTGCCTCCCACTTATCACATGGGCTCTCTGCGCTGCAGCTGGTCACGATGGGCTCTATATTCGACGTTCGTTTCGGTTTCACGAATCCCACGGGGCCAAGCGCGGTGCTGTAGCTGGCAACGTTTGGCTCCATATACGCTTCCGCGGCCGTGCCGCACTACGTTTTCTCTTATCCTGCCGTGGCTACGAGGGGTGACGAAGGGAATACGCTGGCGAAGTTGGGTTCCAATTCTGTTTCCGCCACCCTTGCCCTGACCGCAGTGCTGTAGCAGATTACGTCGGGCTCCAGCTTTGCTTCATACGTCTTTCGCTTACTGTTCACAGAGCTGTAGCTGGGCATATATGGCTCCAGCGTCGCCATTCCCTCCTCGCACGCACTGGTCGCTTTGCTGTAGCTGGTCACGTTGGGCCACACATTCGCCTCAACAGCCGTGCCATATTTCTTTCCTTCTGATCCAGCTGTGGCGACGGGGGCCGAGGGGAGAACGCTGGTGAGACTGAGTTCCAGCTTTGCTCCCGCCTCCTCAGATGCCCTTATCACGTTTGGCTCCACCTTCGCCTCCGCAGCCGAAACACATTCCGTCATCTTTGGTCCAGCCGTGGCGACGAGGGGTGGCGAGGGGAATGCGCAAGTGATATCGGGCTCCAACTGTATTACCTCTGTCACTGTTGCCTTGATCTTAGTGGTGTACCAAATGACGTCGGGTTCCAGCTTCGCTTCTGGCGCCTCTCGCTTGCACACCCTGACTGCAGCGCTGTAGCTCGTGACGTTGGGCTCCGTCTTCGCCTCCGACTTCAAGCACGCGCTGTTCTCAGGGCTCAGGCCAGCAACCGAGTCGGGCTCGATCTTCGCCTCCCACTTCTCGCATACAGGTTCTTGCAGCCAGCCTTCAATTAAGGGTGAGGCTGGCGGGAAGTCCAGAGCGGCCTGGCGGCAGGTCGCCAGGCGTAGCCTCCGCCATGCGTGCCGCTGGCTTTTGCTCGCCGGAGGGCGCCACACGACCGTCGGGGGCGAACACCACATTGAGCTTGGCCGGCGGCGTCGCTTCACCATGTCGGGTGGCACGGGTGTTGGTCCCCGCCAACTGGCCGCACGCAATCGCGGCTCCGCGCGGTGTGCCCCAAGCGCCTCGGGCAGGCCCCCGTGCTGTGCTTGCGAGGAGGAGGAGGAGGAGGGGGAGGAGGAGGAGGAGGAGGAGGAGAAGAAAGGAGGGGGAGGAGGAGGACGAGGATGAGGATGGGGAAAAGGAGGAGGAGGAGGAGTTTTCTGAGCTCCACGCCGAGGCGACTCCAAGTGGCAGCCAAAGTCAGGCTGGCGACAGGCCTACTACTTCGGACGAAGCAGCAACTGTGTACGCGCCAGTACCCAAAGGAAGTGGACGCAATGATACGATTGAAACGCAACGTACAACTGTCAATGTCAACAATTCCGTGTCAACAATAACGGGTATGCAGACCTTCCACAAGGAAGGCCAACCGCAATGTGCCAAACGAGAAGGAGGTGGCGCACACATACTCGCCATGCCTCTGACGGCTCTTCCCGAATGGAGGGGGAGGAGGAGGAGGAGGAGGAGGAGGAGGAGGAGGAGGAGGAGGAGGAGGAGGAGGGGGAGGAGGGAGAGGTGTAGAAGGGGAAGGAGGAAGAGGAGGAGGAGGACGACGAGAGGAGCACAGGGAGGAAGGAGAGAATGAAGAGGAAGAGGACGACGAGGCGGGGAGGAGGCGGACGAGAGTAGGCGCCAGACCTGGAGGAAAATCAGCCGCGCACGCCCTCTCAAAGAGGGGCAGGGCGCGGCCGCGCATACTGCCCGGCAGAGGCCATGCCCGAGGCCTACGGGGGGAAACACCTCGGCCTGGTGCCGACGATGCACGGACGATGGATTTCAGAGGGGTCCTCGATCGATCGCAAAGCCGCACGCGCTTCCGCGGGGTGGGCCGTCAGGACCCCCGCCCCTCTTCCTGCCTCCCCGCCTGCCGTGGTCTTTCTGGCGCGCTCGCTCGGCGTTTGGACTGGCCAGTGAATTCATCCTGGCGGCATGCCCAACCCATCTGCAACTAGTGGCTAGTGGCCACAACGAGGGGCCATCTTGTGACAGAAGATGACATGTCAAGGCGCGGATCATGATGTGAAAACTAAATGGAGCATCCGCCTAACCATAGTTACACGTTCGGAGGTCCGCGCTGATTTCTTGGATCGGCGCTGGGACCCCCTACGGCGCTGGAACTCCCTCCCTGGCGCGCAGAGCACCAGGGGCGGCGCCAGAGGCTCCACCTGGCTGATCAGGCACTACTCCACCAAACTATTCGTGCGGACCTTCCAAAAACTATGTTTGTGCAATTCGTTCTTGTTCGATGGACGGGGTGGGCCATCAGGCCCCCGATCCCTGTTTCTGCCCCGCCGCACGCTGTGTCCTTTTTGGCGCTCTTGCTCGGCGCTTGAGCTGACCAACGAAACAAACAAGCAACGACAGTGCGCGAACGCGACAGAGCGACGCGACCGCCTGCGAATGCGCACGACGCGATTCAAAACGTGTGCCTCCCCTCCCCCTCTCTGGCCCGTTGAAACATCGAGCGAATTCCCACCTGGGGGCTGCCGGATGCCGCCGTCGTCGCCTTCGCCCTCGGCGACGGCGTCCCAGGCGCTGGCTTCGCTGGCGTCGTCGGCATCGGCTTCGCCGGCGGCGACGGCGTCGGCGGCGTTGGCGTCGGAATCGTCGTCGCCGTTGTCGTCGTTACCCCCGCCGTGGCAGTCGTCTGCGTCGGCGTCGTCGATATCATCGTCATCAGCGTCGGCTTGGTCGTCGTTCTCACCGCTGTTGCCGTCGTCGCTGGCGTCGGCATCGGCGTCGGCGACGTCGGCGTCGTCGCCGTCGTCGTCGCTTCCACCGCCGTGGCAGCCGTCTGCCTCGGCATAATCGGTGTCGTCGTCATCAGCGTCGACGTTGTCGTCGTTCCCACCGCTATTGCAGTCGTCGATGGTGTCGGAGTCGTCGGCGACGGCGTCGGAGTAGCTGCCGCCGTCGCAGCAGTCGTCGTCGAAATCGTCGTCATCCCCCTCCTGGTCGTGCTGCTTCTGCTACTGCTACTCCTGTTCCTCCTCCTCCGCCTCGCTCACT